GGGAATCTGAGCTTTTTTCTGTGACTGAAATCTATATTAATTTTGTTGATCAATAATATGAGACTACTATACGAAGTTTAACTTCTTTTTATTCATCAGAAAGTAACATTGTAATAAGTTACATAGTTTATAATAATTACAATAACAAATTTATTTTATTTTAAATTTTAACAGAAAATTATCGGGAACAAAAAAAAATAAAGTTGGTATTAAGGTACCATGGGGATGAACTTGATATTTTTTGTGATTTTTATGTGTCTCTTCTTTATTCCATCATGCATTGGCAAAGGCAGCAAATACTGCTGGTCGTTGAATGAAAATTTCTGCAACTTTTCAAAACTATGATTGGTTTTCTCCTTCTATTTATTGCTTTTCTTTTAAATTGCTTTGTATTTTGGGTTTTTCGAAGCATCGGCTTTGTTCTTGCCTGCCTCTGATTTTTTCTAGCTTTTTTCGTTTTTCGTCTCTGTAATGTTAAAATATCAGGTAATCATAAGGATAATAAGTTTCTATGTAATATTTAACCTGTCCAGGACCTCCGTAAAAGAAATGGCGAGTAAAAACAGCTTCGTAATGGGGCCCTGCAAATATACAAATATAGTTATTTTTCTTTAAAAGGACAATTGTCCTGAAATACTTACAATTATTCCGCTTGTAAATACGGCACCTTTCCAAGTATTCTTCCAGAATCCTTCGACTTAAGTACACAAAAGATGAAGCAACTTGCCGCCTGATTTCTCTAAGTGAATTAAAAGAAATATGTAACATTAAAATAGAGAAAGTATTTCCGAAAAACTTAAACGATAACATAACCTGGAAAGGGGTTCTTGAAAAATATCTCAAAAAAGTGGCACTTACCTGGCTCTTTGATTAATATACGTTAGTGCAGAATATTTTCTGACCATTTTAAATTATTTATTAATTTAGAATTTCCAAAAAAACGTATAAAAAATTTTCTGGAATTTTGTTGACAGATAACCGTTGATTTTTCCAATTAAAAGAAATATTCAGTCACCTACTAAGATCTAACTATGTTTTGCAGTATAAATGACTCCTTGATGTAATAGCAAGGATTATTCACCTAATACTATAATACCATGTCTTAAGATTTTTGATGAAAAACGTCTATCCCGAATTTTTACTTTTTATATAAATTTTTCGTTAGATACAACAAATTAACAACGATGTCTAATTAATAAAATAGAGATTGAAGTTTCACAACACAACACATTTCTGCTTTAGTTAAACACAAAATATATTTAAAAATGTAGAATACCTCTACATTTAATAATAAGATCTTTTAATTAATATATAAAAAAAATGTTTTCTTGATAGTTGATATCTACTCATTCTACCTAGAGAACAGTAAATACTTAATGTCCTATTCGAGTTAGGTTAGAAAAGTATCTGTGTTAGTAATCAATAAATTAACCTATTTTAGTTTAGTTTCATTATGATTCATTCTAACATTATTTATTAAAACCAGGAGAAATTTTATGTGCTTTATTTATAACAAAAAGTTGATATAGTTCAGTTGGGTGGGTGTATAAATATAAATATACAAAATAGATACTTATCTAAGCAGTTGTCAAAGAAATTTTCGTTTTTTATCAAATTCAGTTCTTCGCCTGGAAATTCTAGCTGCTACTTCACTAGCATAAGGGTCATATTCTTTGTACCTTAATGACTTTATAGGTCGCCTATTTTTTAATTGCATAGACTCCAAAACAGCTCTTTGTTTGCGAATTTTTAATGACTTTTTTGGCTTACATGTTTTCCTTCTTCTAAATCGTTTTTTCTAAAAAGAAATAAATTTATAGTTTCTGTAATAAACAGGTATAAGTTTGGAAATTAATTTAATCGTACCGCCATTAACCGCTGAATTACTGATGGATTACGTTTGGGCTCTGAAAAAAATAAATAATTACACTTTAACACACTTTTGAATGTTATAATGTGAGTATAATATAATTACTTTTATTACTATAAAAGATAAAAGTTTGATATCTCCAAACTTTACGAATAATATACTCTGGCCAAGTAATAGTCAAGATTATCCTGTGCTTCTTTTTCCTGAAATAAAAAAGTAGAATGTTATTCAGGTCGATTCGAAAGAATTATTATTTTACGTATTTTAATTAATTACCTGATTTTGTCCCTTCTCTTTAATTGTAAATCGTGTTTTTTCGGCATATTTTATATTTAATAAGATAAAAATACACAATATTAAAATTTTGAATCAAATTTTGTAAAAAAATTTTCAAATTAAACGTCAAATTAAAATGTAGACAGACCTCTGTACATCAATGTCCATATAGCCTTTTTTTAGGATTACATACTAATTAATAAAATGACACGTAAAGTAATATTTAAAACCAATTTAATTATTAAAATTGATAAATAATATTAGAAAATTACGAGTAATTTCTCCGTGTCTGAATGGCAGACTACATTATAGTTGTTGGCAATGAAAGCAGCTATAGGATTATTGACATTGGAGTACTTCAAGGTACTAAACTAGGGCATATGCTTTTTTGATATTTTTTACTTTTATGTGGTTTTGTAATGTAGACAACTGGAAGGTTTTGTCAAAATTAGTAATTAAAAGACTACAAAGTAACCACAAAAAAAGAAAATTTTAAATATAATATATGGTGTAAGATATGAGTCAATTGTCACTGATAAAAGATCTGTACCAATTAAGCTTATAATTTTGAATGTTTAATGTACTGTTATGAAAATATTAGTACTTTATATGAGAATAGTAAAAGTAAAACGAGACAGAAGCATTTCTTTGACGAGCTGGCCAGCTTTTAGAACAAAATTAGTTCAGAATAACTAATTATTTATTTATCAATAACTTTAGACAATAATTTTCACTTAAGCAATGGTTATACGTATTTCTATTTCTGAGAAAAGTTTAAAAAGTGGTAAGTACATGATGAAAATATTTCGCAATGTGTAATAACTGTTCCTCTTTACATTGGCGTTTTACATCTAACTGTTACGGCAGTTCTTCCTCTTCAC